GCAAAAGCCAAGAGACAGCCCCTTCTCTTTCTCTACAAGGACCTGCACAGAAAGCAAGAGAAGATGGGTTTCAACTTGCCATACGACATTTGTGGGCCAAGACTCAAAGACTGATGGGCTCACACATTCCCAAAGCAGCACTTTGCTGCTGCTCTCCTGGGTCATTCTCTGCCTGGGGGGAGGCACAGATTCCAAAGTGACCCTGGCACTACCATCATGGGCCGTCTGGCACTGAAGCTCCAACAGCCTCTCAGGCACCTGACAGGGAAGGCGTGGCATTGCTCAAGGCTCTGCTGAGAGCCTCCCTCTGCTCCTGCCTGTCCTCTTTGTCTTTCAGTAATGACTGACACCCAGCTCTGTCCCACAGCTCCATCCTGGCTCTGCAGGTGGCTTCCTGGCTGAGCTCACCCCTTGTGAGAGACACTTCTGCAGTTCACGTTCTCTTCAGGCCTGCACCAGCATTCCTGCCTTTCTGACATCTACACTCTTGTTAGAAACCCTGGTCATTCAGGAGATAAGGATGCATGCAAAGATCCTCTGACAGAGGTCACAGAGCCTCTATGGCCACCTATGGAAGAGGACCAAGATGTTTCTTCTCCCTCTTTTGTCAACTGAGAATTCTGACCAGCAGGAACAGAGACTCTCATAAGGCCCCATTAACGAATGCACTTACACACCCCTGGGGATGCCAGTGAAGGAAAGCGTGTGTCATGTAATCCACGTATGACCAGAGTCACCAAACACCATCTAACCATGGAATTGTTCCATCTCTCTAGGACATGCAGAAAATTTAAGAATTAACTGTGTACTTCAGTGAAGAAAAGGCTGGAGGAAGAAAACATCTCTGAGGAGAAAAATCAACCATGTCTAGAGGGGGAACAATCTCTGCCTCCTCAGGACCAGCTGACAGAACATGGCTCTCCTCTTCTCCTGAAAGGGATGCCTTGAAGTGGGCCTTGCACCTCCAACTGCCTTGGACCAGAGCCATAAAGATTCAATTATGTAAATGTTACCTACATAGATAGGTAGATAGATAGACAGATACATCTCACTCTTATAATTTCTCTTTACTGTCCTTTCTGCTGCTGCACACATCAACACTTGTTAGCCATTGCTCCAATGAGCAGCAATCCTACTGTGCAATACAACATTGTTTCTCTAAACAAACACATTCTTGGGGAATCTGGAGTGTGTAGGTCCTTATGGAATGCAATCAGACCCAGAGCATTGCACTGGGAGCTGCACTCTTTGTGTATCTGTGCTCAGGCAAGTTCTTCCCTTGGATTTGTCCACACTGATGGTGCTAAAGTGGCTGTAATGAGAAATGCAGCCCAGCCCCTCCAAGCTCCTCTGACCTCTGAGGACCATCTGGAATGCAAGGGCATTGATTTCCTGCTCAATTCCCAAACACAACACACGCTGATTCCCTGGGCTGCAAAAAGGCGTGGGCATCGTTAACCAGAAAGTGATGTGCAAGGCCCTGCTGGCTGGCCTGGCACCAGAACAGCTCCTTCTGCACCAACAGCCTCGCCCAAACTATGTGTTCTCATGCAAAAATATGGCATCCTCCAGAAATGACGCCTTACAAATTAAAATTCTAGCAGAACCAGTTGCAGTGCTGGAAAAGGGCAGGAAATCATGAGGAAAAGCAGCTCAGTTGCTGGAAAAAAAAAAAAAAAAAAAAAAAAAAAAAAAGAAAATGAACAGGGCTCCTCCTCCAAGCATGTAAAAAAGCAAGAAAAAACAGGGGGAAATGTCAGTTCCACAATTGGCTAAAGTATTTGGACACAGTGATGGGATGCTGAAGGTCTCTGACAAGGCTCCCATTGTCCAGGCTAAAGCTCCCTCAGCCCCTCCTCTCTGGGCTTGTGCTCCACAGCCTTGCCCAGCTCCCGTCTCCTTCTGTGCACACGCTCCAGCCCCTGCATGACTTTCTGCTGCACAGGGGCCCACAACTGCACACAGCACTGCAGCTGTGGCCGCAGCGCTGCCCAGCACAGGCCGACACTCCTGCCCCTCTGCTGCTGACACAGGCCACCATGCCCTTGGCCTTCTTGGCCACCTGCAAAGTTGCCCATCTGACTTCAAATCCAGCATCCACCATTTCAACCTGTTCTTCCTCTTTGGTGCAACACAAGACAGCAGTCAAGGACTCGCAGTTTCACCCCCACTCCAGGCTCCAAAGCACTTTCCAAAGCTGCACACTACACCAAAAGATGCATCCACAGAAACTTGCCCCTTCTGCTTTGGGCCTCACAAGAAGGCTTTGCAACCACGCACTTTGTTTCTTTGGCCACACGGGACATGAATGGCCCCCCAGAGCCCCATGGACCGCACAATCATCTCCTTATCGAAAGCCAAAAGACAGCTGGGCCAAGCGAAACTGTACAAGGGGCGAACTCCTCAAGAAAACTGCAGCCGAGTTCCACAAGCCAAACACACCGTTTCAAAAAGGGAAAACAAAAAAAGAAAGCCCTGTGACCTCCAGCACTACCTCGTGTGCCCTTGGCCTTAGCAGTGCAGAAGCCAAGAAACAGAGCTTCACTAAGCCAAGCAGCCAGGTGCTCTCCCAGAGGCACCAGCTCTTTGGTGCCTCAACATGACAGGTCAAAGGCCAAGTTCTGCTGCCACTGCCTGGAGGAAATCCCTCGGTCCTGGCAGGACTCCAGCACGCAGCATCCTCAGCCAGCAACAGCAAGCGCTGGCTGCTCCCAAACTTGCAGCTCTGCCTTGCACTAAAGGCAGCACCACCCACAAGTGGCACTTACAGATTCCGTGTATTCAGGCTCTGGTGTGAGCACTGATGGAGGCTTCTGGTCATATCCCTCAATGTGCTCCTCTTTGCCTTCTTCTCCGGGAGCAGAGGGGGCCAGGGGAGAGACGGCTGTTTCTTCAGTCACCTGTGGCAAGAGAGAAGCACGAGGGACAGGCCGTTACCTATCACTGAGAACACAGCTGCACACCCAGCAATCCCACTTACTAGTTTGTATCTGTGGAACTAAGAGACATTCAATACTTTGCTGAAACTCACAGGCTAAACATTACCCCAAATTATTTGACATATTTAAAACTGTTCTCAGAATTTATTGACATCAGAGTAGGAGTATCCTGTAGGTCCCTGGTGGTCAACGCGACAGGTTCAGGAGGAGACCCATGCATAAAATAACTCTAAGAAAACTGGGCTTGCAAAGCAAATTTATTCCATTAGTTGCAGTAGCAAATAATAGGTACCAACCCCTGGATTCCCAAAAATCCACTGAACAGGAGAAGGAACTGGAGCGTGGTGCTCGGCGGCAGGGGCAGGTAGGCAGTGGACTTCCAGGACATCCCCTGCATCAAAACGGTCTGCATCTCATCCTTCTCGCCCCTCCCCCCCAGAAGCAGCCCTTCCATCTCCTGCTCAGGAGTGGAATTTTCCCCGTTACAGCATCAGCTCACACATGGCCGGCGTGTGAGATGAGGCCAGCATGGCTCACCATACTCCATGACTCCCTGCCAACAAGGGCTCCAGGATGCCTTGTTCCCCTTTCAGAGCTGAACTGCCCACCCACTGACCAAGACATTGTTTCTCTTTCTAGGGTCAAATTGCCCCCCTTTAAACAACACACTTTTTCTTCATTATCTTGTCCGCCTTCTCAAACATGGATCAAATATGGCAGGGCCTCAGATCTCGGGTTTCCTGCTGTCAGGATGACCCGAGTGTCCCTTTTTCCCAGCCCCATGGTCAAAGAAAGAGTTGGAATTCTTCGGCTCCGGTTCACAAGATTGTTTATTATCTATTAGTAACATATTTTTATATGGTTTCCACAACCCTCGTGTTTAACTCCAAGTGGCTGGTAGTTTCTT